TGTGGAACAATTGTACCCGTTTCTAAAAACGTTATCATTATCCAAGCACTTTTCTCCAAGAAATTCCTATAGTTTTGGAAAAAGCTGAAACTCTGACGCTGCTGTATTGTGGATGATCCAGTAATTGCCAATGAAACTTGCGCTGTTGAGTCTGCGTTCTTGCCGCAACGTGAGGCCGAGCGTGGTCGTGAAGCTAAAGAGCAGGCCCTGCCATCTGTTTTGAATAGCGCGCCTAATTCAACAAGCTGCTGGTAAATTTCAGCCAGAGGAGCGCACTTCACAATGTATGCAATACATAAGCTTGTGAAAATTCGTCACCAGGCGGGCTAGAAAATCGGACAAGAAGGGCGCGGTAGCCTACATTACATTAAGTATACGAACATACATCAAAGATGTCAAACATGTCTCATGCTTATGCTTATGTACGTTGGAGGCAACTCTAGCGCACCTGGATAAAGCAGTAAAAATGAAGCTTACACGTCGAAGTATGGCAGTGAGACGCCTTCGCCATTACGTGCGTCCAACAGCGTAGTTTGCTCCTCAGGGCCCCATATCACAATTTGAAGGACGGACCCTCCCTACTGAAGGTGCATTTCCTTTATAATTTCTGTCAGATAATCGTAAGATGACATGGAACACGCCAATGGAAACAATACAGTAAAAAATATACACACAAATAAATAAGTAGATAACAAACATTTAACTAAAAACAAACATTGAAAAATCATGGTAGATACAGACTAACATATTGCTATGTTTATATTATATAAATAAAATTTATCAAATTTAGAAAACATAAAACATAATATAAAAATGAATAAGAATGACAACTGTTAAAATTGAGATATAGTTTGTCACAGTGATCACACTCATCCATTAATAGTAGTCTTAATTTCAGGCTCGAAAATAGTGAGTGGTTGGGTCTTGAGGGTAATTTGTTGAATCACCTAGCGGCCTGCATCGTGTTCTGGTCAATCTGTGTATAGGAACCTGTAGGACAAGCGAAATTCTTGTCAAGTACCTAATATGGTCGTTCGTCTTCGGAAAATTATCAAAATTAGATTTTACATGTTAAAACAGCTCGAAAATGTATATGGATGGCAACGTTAGTATTTTAATTTACTTTTGGTTGACCGCGGGTGCTGAAACTGCGAAAATATTAGAAATTCAGGTAAATGCCTTTTGTTTTGCGATGTTTACAACACTTGTGTTGAATAATACGAATTGTCACCTTCTAACCATAGGCGCTTTTTCAATTTGTCATTGTCTATCAGATCGATTTGAAGGATCTTTGCTCTTGGTTAAGGTATTGTAAGTCAGTAGATCGGACAGGTCTGGTTGCCAGATATCAGACAAAGTCAGGGAGAAATAATGGAAGAAGAAAGAAGGGTAGGGACAGTAAAGAAGAAAGAAGTGCGTCGATTTGAAGGGTGCCTTGGCATTGCGAGCCTGTATTCGGGATTTCAAATTGATCTTAAAATTAATTTAGAGATTGGTTGTTAAAGAAAAAAATTATTTCTGGATGGCCATGGACGCTGCTAATGCGAAAATATTAGAAACTCTGGTAAACATTTTTTGATTTGCGATGCTTACAATATGTGGGGGTCATAGTAGGTAATGTTACTTAATATTAGTGATTGTTTAAATGGCAGCGGTGTTATATATAAAAATTAAAACAGCCTTCAGATTGTCCCAAATTTTGATTTTGTATGCTTTACAACTTTCTGAACACACATATAGGTTGCAATTTTTAAAAACCTCGAAAATTTGCATTCATCGTTCCCGATTGCTTCAGCAAGTTAGGGCATATTCAAAAATATCATGTAGCTCAAACGTTTTGTTTCTACTTGCCACTATTTTTTCAGATTTTTTCTTTATTAAACTATCACACAGCGGAAAACGATAGTGTTCCGAAATTTTCAGCCTCTGAAGACAGTACCACGCTTGACAGTCAGAGTTGCATCATAGAAGGTCCTAAAATATTTTAATTACTTTTAATTTCTAAAACCTTCTTTCAGCTGTTGCAGTCGTAATCTAGAGAGTTAAAAATAGGAAGCATGCTGCTATCACCTAGCGGTACAATCTGAGACTAAGCGCTTGAAAACTTTCAATTTAGCGTACGGCCTAAAAGCTTGCGTGAGATTGAGAAAAACACCGGCGCATCATTCTTGTGCCAGAAGGCCACTGCAAGCTATACCAGGGCGGCAAATCGGCAGCCGCCAAAAGCTTTGATTACATGTAACGAGTACAGTGGCGAGACAGCAAAATATAACTAGGCCGAGAGAGTTGTACGGGCGAGAAGGTGTTCACACGCATCTGGAACTTTTCTTTGAATCAGTGCATTGTTGATCGGAAAACGGTCTGGTTTTGCTAATAAAAATGAATCATAACAGCTGTATCAAGAAATATACAAAGTTACTCATACCACTTATGATTGAAGAATTATATGAATTATTCCGCGAAAAAAAGAAGCGTGTGTGGACAAGAAAATGGATTGCAAGATGATCAGAATTTGGTGCTAGTAGCACACTTTTTAGGGAATTGCAGTGGGAAGATCCTAATGAATTCAGAGCACTTTTGAGAATGAATGTAGAGCATTTCAATGCATTATTGGAAAGTCTCACTCCAATGATACAAAAAGAAAATACTGTCATGAGGCAAGCTATACCTCAAGGATTAAACTACAGGTGGCATTAACATTCAAGGTGCTTCAGTTTATTGTTGCATAACTTTAAGATTCGGTAGAACTTTTAAGATTAATGCATAAAGTCTATATAAACATGGGTCAAAAAATGCGATACAGGGTGTTTAAATTTACTTTTTAAAATATTTTTTTTTTAAATATTTCGAACAATATTTGATGTATGATAGTGAAAATTGGTATACAAGGGTTTTTTGGTACGACAAAACGAACCATAAGCATAGTTTTACTGTAGCCGCGAGAGGGCGCTCTCTACTGTACCTGTAGTGTATTAAAATGACCGAAAATTTTTTCTCTAGTGCAATTTTTTGCTTTTTGAATAAAAAAAATGATTCTTTGCACTTTTCTGCATAAAAAAGCTCTCCTGTGAGTTTTCGTTGCAGTTAGCCGTTTTTGAGATATTTCGATTTTTAAGGTTCGATGCATTTTTAGTTATTTATGGGAAAATAATATTTTTTTTACATTTTCGATTTGGGCATTACAAGTAATTAAGATGATCGTTTAGATTGTGTTTTTAAACAAAGCAATAATTCCTAAATCCAAATAAACACAAAAGACAGAATATTAATTTGTTTAATTTTCCAACATTATTTTTAACAAATTAAATTAATTATTTACAACTAAAATGTTATTTAATAGTTAGGACAAACATACAAAATCTAAAGTAGTTGCTCGAAACGTAAACCCAATTGCTCAATACACAATTCACATCTACGAATGATCGAACGTGGTATAGCATTATTCAAATAAGGCCTTATTTCATCACATGCATTCCTGATTCTGTCTATCAGCATATCTCTTGTGGTTACGGGAGACTGGTACACTTTTTCTTTTAGAAATCCCCACACAAAGAAATCTAATGGATTTAGGTCAGGGGATCGTAGAGGCCAGGCGACTGGTCCTCCACGGCCGATTCATCTTTCTGGATAATTTTTGTCCAGCCAGTTTCTAACTATTCTCGAATAATGAGCTGGATAACCATCAAGCTGGAACCAGGCCAACCTTCTTAAATCTAACATAACATCATCCCACATATTTGCATGTTCAACCTTTAGAAATTCCAAGAAGGTCGCAGCATTTAACCGTGCAGGCAAAAGGTAGGGCCCAAATAGTCGATTACGGTAGATACCAATCCATACGTTCACACTAAATTCATGCTCAACGTCTAGTGAAGCATGACTCATCGGTCCATAAACCGTTACTTAAAAACTCCCTATTATTATCAGTTCTATCAAGAATCCACTGACAAAATGTGATTCTTTCTTCTCCGTCCACTGGCTGAAGTCCTTGCACAGATTGCAAATGGTAATGGTCATTTCTAAGAACACGGTGAACATGGCTTGCTGAAATTCCCAAGGCATCAGAATCTCTCCTTGTGGTCGGATCTCTATCAAACTCACGCAGAATCATACGCGTAAATCTGCGCTGACGAACATTCATGTTTTGATCCCCTTGGAGATTTCCAAAACCATTTTTAATTATTTGGCGATGCACTTTTACAAATACTGAGCGAATTGGATGTCGTCTGTTTGGAAATCTTCGTGCGTATTCTCTGGCTGCTTCTGCTGCGTTTCCATTTACAAAGCCATACACAAAATGAATATCCGCTAACTCTTGATTGGAGAATAAAAATAGCATTTTTATAAAATTTACAAAAAAAGAACAGGTAAAAGAAACTAAATTTCGTGCATTCACAATTGCAAAAAGACGTTTCAGGTTTCAACAGACAACAAAACTAACTGTCAACTAATTGACGTTTAACCTTATTCTGCTTTCAATTTCAAAAATATTTGCAGACACAGCCTACTTCTAACAATTATCGAGATACTGACTGTTTAACGTTATTTTATCATGAATAATTAAAAATACATCGAACCTTAAAAATCGAAATATCTCAATAACGGCTAACTATAACGAAAATTCACAAGAGAGCTTTTTTATGTTGAAAGGTGCGAAGAATCAGTTTTCTATTCAGAAAGCAAAAAATTGCACTAAGAAAAATTTTTCGGTCATTTTAATACACTACAGGTACAGTAGAGAGCGCCCTCTAGCGGCTACAGCCCATGGTTCGTTTTGTCGTACCAAAAAACCCTTGTATACCAATTTTCACTGTTATACATCAAATATAGCCATGTTTATATAGACTTTATGCATTAATTTTAAAAGTTCTATCGAATCTTAAAGTTATGCAACAATAAACTGAAACACCCTGTATATTGCAACAGGAGTCAGCTACCGTTATTTACAAGCCTCCTATAGAATATCTCGAGCTGCAATATCGTTACTCATACCAGAGGTAATGGATGCAATATATGTCTATTTGAAAGACTATGTAAAGGTAAGTGTTTTTTTATCAGACATTTTTTTGAGAGTGAATAGTTTCTCATATTCTTGGGGTGACATTAAATATAACATAATAGTAAATTCGTTTTATTATGAAGGTAACAAACATTCAAAACTTATTTCGACATTAAACTTGTTCGTTCCCGATGTCACTGTCACAGGCAGCGGCCATAGCTAACGTTATAATATCATTCGTGGTGCGAAGAGTGTCCGATTCTGAGGTGAGGTCATCAAATCTGTTTGTCACATGGTCTGTTGACGCAGTAGATGTATAACTAACATCACTGAAATTTGGAAATACAGAAGATGATCTTTGACTGCTGTTATTCGGCGCAGACTTTTCTCTGTAATCCTTGATACCGATTTCGCTCAAAAGGATTCGGATTCGACACTGAGCTAATAAGGCATTTTCTACCCGAAAAAGTTTTAAGTTGCGATGCAACACTCTTTCCAAACACGCCAAGAGGGTTTCCTTCGGCAGAATTGACTTGCTCATGTAAGGTCACGGAGGGGTCATTTTCTTGTGCAATGGTATCGTCAGTGCTGGGTCCATTAATCTGACAATAACCGAAATCCTGTATTGTCTCAGCTACCACAGAACTATCAAGGATGGCAAAAGATAGAAGCAGGCTGCTTCAGAACTAGATGGAATTTTCCTGGTTGCTATGGCGCCATGGATGGGAAGCATGTATTGATTCAAGCACCTCCGAACTGTGGAAGTGAATTCTTCAATTTTAACGGCACGAATAGTGTTGTGCTTATGGCTGTTGTTGACCATGACTACTGTTTCCGTTATGTTAATATCGGAGCAGATGGAAGAAACTCGGACAGTGGAATTTTCAGAAATAGCGCATTATATAGCGATCTTGAAAACAATATGCTACCAACAGGTGGTTTTTTAGTTGGTGATAATGCTTTTGCACTGAAGACATATTTATTGAAACCATACAGTGGCTCAAACCTCACAAGAGTACAAAAAATGTTTAACTATCGATTATCCAGAGCACGCAGAATAGTCGAAAATGCATTTGGCATCCTAAAAAGCAGATTTAGAATATTTCAAAAACCTATACCAACTGACGACAACACAACCGATAAGATTATTCGAGCCTCATGTGCTCTCCATAATTGGTTGCGCCTAACAAGTCCCAGTTGTTACTTTCCAAAGGATTGCGTGGGCGTAGAAGATATTGTTGAGGAGACTTGGAGACAAGAACTCATAGCCACCTTGCCATCTATCACCGATCACACTACCAATAATTCACCACGAATAGCAAGAAATCTCAGAGACAAGTATGCCGAATACTTTAGTGAAGCAGGTGCTGTTGTATGGCCAGATACAATGATTTCATAGTTGTAACCAAACCAAATAAACTACTTACATTTTCATATGTCTTTCTTTTCAGATCGTGAATAAACACCTCTTCCGTTTCCTTCAGCCACTTGATGTTTGAAGTATACACATTACTGAGCCCAGCCCCCGATCTCTTTGAATCATTAATTTTGTTCAGTTCTTGACTGTACGTGGATCTCAAATGTTTAATCTTATTTTTGACTTCTTGCACTCCAAAGCCATCAATATCCATTTCTTCAACTATTGCGGCAATTGCAGCATCCCGTTTCTGTTTATTTCTGTAGTACGTCGACTGAAAATTCCACAAGCAAGAATGGGATTTATATTGTTGGATAAATTTAATTGTGGTATCACAGTCCCATTTATTCTTAGCCATATTTTATTGAAAGATGAAACAGTCAGACCATGAAGCTAGACGCAGTTTCGCAGTTGCTTTAGATGGCGAGTGATATAGCACACCGAGTGCCTGTTCAAACCTGTCGAGCGCGTGCCGAGCGATATACCGAGTAGGTAGGGGGGTGGCACTCGGTCTAGTAAGTAGAAAAGGGTCCGAGTGACTGTCTCGCTCTACTACTGGGCCCAGTGCTCGGTTACCTGTTTATACTGAGTACTAGGCCGAGACCACTGTCTCGCCACTGTACTCGTTACATGTAATCAAGGCATATATGCGTTGCAATAGCTATTGGTCATTCATAAGACTACGAACAAGTGCATGATTCGACAGGATAGAACTCAGGCTCGGGGTATCGCCGGCACGCAGACGCCGGCAGCTGCTGTTCATATTCGGTTCATACATAGCTTGTGTTTATACGTTAGCATGTCGTTTACGGACACAGCAGATAAAACTGAGAATATTTCTCCCAATGCTTCCTTCAGCTATGGAAATCTTGACGTCAATACCGACAGTTGTACTTGATAGTGCTGCATACCACACTAGAAAGCTAGAAAAAATTCCCACAATGTCCACAAGAATGGCAGAAATTCAACAATAGCTCCTATCAGAAGACGTTAGTTTCAACGAAAATATGGTCAAAGCAGAACTCATACATCTGGCCAGGCAGCATATAATCTTAATGTTATTGACGAAATGGCTTAAAACCAAAATAAGACCGTTTTAAGGCTACCCCCTTGTCACTGCCAATTAAATCCCATTGAAATGATTTGAGTAAATATAAAAAACTACGTGGCATCAAACAAAGAAGATTTAAGTTTTCTGACGTAAGCAATTGGTTTTATGAAGCGTCAACAGAGTGACGGCAAATCATTGGAAATATTGCATCCGTCAGGTTGAAGAGACAGTAAAACAAAGATGTGGGATCTGGACAATATGATCGATATTCCAGTTGAACCTGTAATAATTAATATTATACTAAGTGACATATAAATCCGAACACCCAGTTTAAATGGTTTTATTTTAATAAAAGTAGGTGAATGTATTTATCTTACTGTAAATAAAGCGAAAAAATGTTCAGCCTTATCAGTTGGACATTCCGGTTTTTATACTGCTTTTTTTTAATTCACTAACGCTCTAAAAATGAATATTTCAGCCACAGTAAAGAATCAACGTTGGCGGATTTTGGTTCTTGACATCCCTTACGATCGGTTACGATGCCTAGAGTACGGAGACCTGTACGATTTCGTCAACTTAGTGAGTTTGATAGGGACCATATAGTGGGACTTCGGGAAGCTGGACTTTCTTTTCGGGCAATTGCACTTAGAGTGCAAAGAAGTGTAGACACTGTGGTTAGGTGTTGTCAGGCATGGCTTCGAGAAGGCCGTACGCAAAGAGCAAGGGGCACTGGACGCCGCCGTAGAACAACAGACCGTGAAGATCGCCGCCTAAGATTATTGGCCTTAAGGGACCGTTTCTCCACTACCAGGTCCATTGCAAATGAATGGTTTGCAGAACACGGAAGACCTATTGGCATGCGAAGTGTTTACCGACGAATGAGAAGTTTTGGCTTGTTTTCATACCGGCCACACTGGGTCCTCCCTTTAACTCGAGAACACCGTCGTAATCGCCTTGAGTGGTGCAGAGAACGGTCACTCTGGGATCAGAAATGGAACAGTATTGTCTTTAGTGACGAGTCTCGATTTTATTTAGGCATGAACGATGGTCGTGCCAGGGTTAGAAGGCGACGTGCTGAAAGGAGGAATCCACAGTTTCTTGTTGAAAGACATGTTCATTACACTGTTGGAGATATGGTTTGGGGTGCTATAGCTTATGGTTCCAGGTCACCTTTAATCTTCATCAGAGGTAACATGAACGCGCAGCGTTATATCCACGAAGTTCTAGAACCCCATCTTTTACCCTATCTTGACACCCTGGCAGATCCAACTTTCCAACAAGATAATGCCCGAACACATGTTGCAAGAATCACAATAGACTTCTTTCAACATAATGATGTCACATTGTTACCATGGCCACCAAGATCTCCCGACTTATCCCCAATTGAGCACGTGTGGGATATGATGGGTAGGAGATTGCTCAATTTGCAACGTCCTCCTCAGACTCTAGAAGCACTTCGAGAGGAGTTGGTGGTTGCCTGGAATGAGATACCACAGGAGGACATTGACCACCTGATCAGAAGCATGCCTAGGCGCGTTGGAGAATGCGTAGCACATCAGGGTGCATCCACACATTATTAAAGGTCAAAGGGCTTTAACGCAGTGCAATCATTTTGAAATTTTTATCATTTACTTATTATGCTTCATTAAGTACTTATACAAAATTTTATTAAAATAAAACCATTTAAAGTGGGTGTTCGGATTTATATGTCACTTAGTATAATTACCCATTCGGACGATGTTTCAAGTGCTTCTAGCGAATAAAAAATTGTGAAAAGTATGTACACTTCTTTCTATAAAAATAATCATTTATTTTGTTGCATTATCCCAAGACCATTAAGGAAAATGCGTACCTGTTCAATCTCGCTTTTGGGCGTGTTGTGTTTTGTCTGGGCGTAAATTGACTACGAGTGGGGTATAGGCATTCATACGGTTCATACGGCGCTAGTTAGGCCCTGCCTGAGTTCTGCCCTGGTATCGCAGTTGCTTTATCATATTTCACCGTCCAACCTCTGTGAGATTTCACCCCGTAACTTTGTCTTGCGGGATGCCCGACATTCTTTGATGCAATTACGATCTAGGTAGTAGCAGCTGCTCGAGACGACTCTGGCTGCTAATCCACGCCTCGCTGTCTACAAATTCAGTTATTTATCACTGGGTAATAGGAGCGTTTCAACATTCAAAGCGTTAGTGAATGTCTAAATGGATTTCGAGCGACGCGTAATAGTTTATTGATATCCGTGCGGATGTGAATTCGTCTTGGGAGACAGAAATTAGGGCAAGCGGCAGGGCTATTACGTAAATAACCTATAAAACGTAAAAAACCGACAAAATGTCAACTTGTTGCCTATATAGATAGTTCCTAGTGTGCAAATATACATTACGTGTTTGTTCGCTATGAGCGCTTTGGGCGTCATCAAAAGCGTCCGCCTTTGGAGGAATGACTCGAAGACGTGACACGCTCATTGACCATGCCGCAAGCTGCAAGTCAGTTCCCCATCATATACTAAGTGACATATAAATCCGAACACCCAGTTTATATGGTTTTATTTTAATAAAATTTTGTACAAGTACTTAATGAAGCATAATAAGTAAATGATAAAAATTTCAAAATGATTGCACTGCTTTAAAGCCTTTGACTTTGACCTTTAATAATGTGTGGATGCACCCTGATGTGCTACGCATTCTCCAACGCGCCTAGGCATGCTTCTGATCAGGTGGTCAATGTCCTCCTGTGGTATCTCATTCCAGGCAACCACCAACTCCTCTCGAAGTGCTTCTAGAGTCTGAGGAGGACGTTGCAAACTGAGCAATCTCCTACCCATCATATCCCAAACGTGCTCAATTGGGGATAAGTCGGGAGATCTTGGTGGCCATGGTAACAATGTGACATCATTATGTTGAAAGAAGTCTATTGTGACTCTTGCAACATGTGGTCGGGCATTATCTTGTTGGAAAGCTGGATCTGCCAGGGTGTCAAGATAAGGTAAAAGATGGGGTTCTAGAACTTCGTGGATATAACGCTGCACGTTCATGTTACTTCTGATGAAGATTAAAGGTGACCTGGAACCATAAGCTATAGCACCCCAAACCATAACTCCAACAGTGTGATGAACATGTCTTTCAACAAAAAACTGTGGATTCCTCCTTTCACCACGTCGCCTTCTAACCCTGGCACGACCATCGTGCATGCCTAAACAAAATCGAGACTCGTCACTAAAGACAATACTGTTCCATTCCTGATCCCAGAGTGACCATTGTCTGCACCACTCAAGGCGATTACGTCGGTGTTCTCGAGTTAAAGGGAGGACCCAGTGTGGCTGGTATGAAAACAAGCCATAACTTCTCATTCGTCGGTAAACACTTCGCATGCCAATAGGTCTTCCGTGTTCTGCAAACCATTCATTTGCAATGGACCTGGCAGTGGAGAAACGGTCCCTTAAGGCCAATAATCGAAGGCGGCGATCTTCACGGTCTGTTGTTCTACGGCGGCGTCCAGTGCCCCCTTGCTCTTTGCGTACGGCCTTCTCGAATCCATGCCTGACAACACCTAACCACAGTGTGTACACTTCTTTGCACTCTAACTGCAATTGCCCGAAAAGAAAGTCCAGCTTCCCGAAGTCCCACTATACGGCCCCTATCAAACTCACTAAGTTGACGAAATCGTACAGGTCTCCGTACTCTAGGCATCGTAACCGATCGTAAAGGATGTCAAGAACCAAAATTCGCCAACGTTGATTCTTTACTGCGGCTGAAATATTCATTTTTAGAGCGTAAGTGAATTAAATAAAAGCAGTATAAAAACCGGAATGTCCAACTGATAAGGCTGAAAATGTTTTCACTTGTTATTTACAGTAAGATAAATACATTCACCAACTTTTATTAAAATAAAACCATTTAAACTGGGTGTTCGGATTTATATGTCACTTAGTATACTTTGCTGGTTGCAGAATGCCGAGATAGTCTGTAGAGCATACTCTGAGATGTGTGGTTGGTTTGCAGACTAGTAGGTCACATCTGGATGATTGTGTGTATTGGTCTGCGTTTGTATAAAGTTAGTGACATTTGCTATGTGAGAAAATTGTAACTGAATAGTTTGCTGATGAAATATATCTATTAGGTGTTGTCCTTTCCGAAGAGAGGTTCTGTGCAAAGTTATACATTACGATTTTCCCCGATTTTTTTGCATTTCCAAAAACTTTGACAAGCATTACAGGAAATTAGCACCGCACCCACGTTGTGTATAATTAGGAATGACATCACATACAAAATATCACCGCACTGTCTTACATCTAGGCGCTGGTTTGTATTTTCTATTTGACATAGTAAAACAAATTTCTACAAAATTTAAATGTCTTAATGATTAAAAATTGATGTGAAAACTAATAACTTTTTTTACGTTTTATAAATACACCTGTATGTATAGTACCATACTTTCTCACCTGTTAGTTTTAATATACTTCACCAACCAGGGATTTTTTTTTCTTATCGCTCTTTTTCGGTAAATTTGCATATGTCATTTCCAGGTTGAATAAGAAAAAGCGGATGTGCTACCAATTTTCAACTTTGCATATGTCTCAAGTGAGTGTATCTGAGACAATAAAATAATGGAATTATCATAAATACAGATTATTAGCTCACAAATCCTCCCTATGCACCTATGTACCGCCGTTTCTTTCAAGCTATAGTATACAACTTACAGCTTAGACCTCCAGTAATGCCATCTCTGAAGCAGATGTTATGTCACATCAGAGCCAAACATTGATAGCTGAAGCATTATGACGTCTAGGCAACACGTACTGCTACCTAACGAGTATTCAGCAAGTGTACAATATCTTGTAGAAAAATCTACATTATGTCACAAAAAACCTAAACAGTTTCAAAAAGAATACGATATAATGAGCCGTATTCATAAAACAAAGGATATCCTTGTACTTGCAAATTTTGAAGTAAATCCTCCAGATGGTACTTATAATAATTTGAAGTAAATGCTTTTGCTTATTGAGTATAAGCATATCCTTCAAAGCAGTGACATAAGTAACCTTATACTTTGCATAGGAAGTATATCCTTCAAAAATTCTGAGTGTGGTTAGTAGCGGACTCAACTTCGTAACGAAAGGTGGTCAAACGATGATGGCGGAAATTGTGGAAGTCATGGATGTTAAAATGTCAAACCTCGTTTACCTTCACTTGGTCGTGACTTCAAAAAATTATATCGGTTCGACGAAGCAAATGTACAATGGCTTGCGGACAGATTTTTAGTTGACAATGAAGAAACTCGAAGAGGAGCACTTTCATGTATTCATAAAATGAAGATATGTCTACGATGTCTCGGTGACCCTGTATATCAACAAGGTCTTGGTCAGGAACTTGGTGTTAGTCAAGCAAAGGTATTTCGGGCTATGGATAGAGTTGTGAACACAGCATAGTTTCACAGTCGAACGAATGGATCAAGTTTCCAACTACCAACCATGAACTGATGGAGGCCAAGCGGATATGGCAAAGCATGTACACATTTCAGACAGCAATTGATGTAACTGATTGTACACATATAGGAATCCTGAAACCAAATCGCCCTGGAGATGACTATATCAACCGTAAAGGGAAAACTACTTTAAATGTGCAAGCCACTTGTGATGCCAGAGAGATGTTCACAAGTGTTGCTGTCAGTTGGCCTGGATCAGTGCATGATTCCAGAATATGGAGAAATTCACAGACTAGATCACAAGTAATAAATAAAGCAAACGTTGTACTACTTGGCTATGACGGTTCTGGTATTGAGCCATGCCTTATGACTCCCTTCAGAAATCCTACTCCAGGTGCAGAAATAAATTATAATAAGCTTTTAAAATATGAAAGAGTTATAATTGAACGCCGTTTCGGCCAACTGAAATGCCGGTTTCCTATCCTACAGTATGTTTGCCGCGTAAAGTTGGAAAATGTGCCGAAAATAATTATTGCTTGTACTGTACTCCATGTTGTGAAAAGCTTGGGCGATCCTGACTTTGAGTTAGTTGAACAAGACCCAGATGATGATGAAGGAAATCATGAGAATGACAAACTTCCTCTCCGCCAACTAGGTCAACAAATAAGAAGAAACTTGAGTATAATAATAAATAGGTTTACTGTTTAAAGTGTATTTATAAGTTATAATAAGTTTTATTTTCGTGAACATCATAAGTTACAGGTGGCTTCTGACGCTGCATTATTTCTAATTTCGTTTTATAATACTCTTGTTGTAACATACTTGTTTGGTACTGCTGTAATAGCACTAGACGTTGCAGTTCTTTTGTAGTTAACCCTTTGGTTTCCTCAGTTTCGTATTTCTCTTGCTAATTTTTTTTTGGTGGCAATGTCTTCTGAATTGCTGGTGCTGTAATACTAACTGTTTGCTCACTGCGCTCGGTATATAGTTCACTCTTCTTCTGAACACTACCAACCTGAATGGCACCTGTAATTTTCCCAATTGTAGGATTACAGTCACCTTCCATAGCTTTCAGCAACTTTCTTTCCCAAACTAACAATTTAATTGCTTTATTACAGTTCTTTTAGATCTGTTTTTTCTTCAATCTTGATTTCATGTTCTTGATTTTTTTTAATAAGCCTTAAGTATCTAATGGCTTACCGACTGTTGGTTCGTATTTTTTCAACACCTTCTTCAATGCACCGTCCTTTCTCATTTTATTTTTGGAACTGATGACTTTTGCAAAATAATGGGAGCAATGGCAATTTCATCTGTGATGAACTGCAGGTCATTGCCATTATTTTCAATTCCTCATCACTTGAAGATGACAGGCTTATTAATTTGATAAAAAACTGTATCCAGTAAAAATACGGAACGGTCTGTGTAACCTCTGGAGTACAACTTACTGTCAGTGATGATGAGCGAATGAACTCCCACGTCAACTACAAGCTGGAACAAGTCAGGACCTGTCGCTCAAGATACAAATACCAGTCAACCTTTTACTTCTTCCTGGAGGATATCCTCGTGAGTATAAGGTAATCATTATGAATATGAAAACAAGGATATGCTTATACTTCCTCCCTTTTCTCCGAAGCAAGACCTTATACTTGTACCTTATGCTTCCGAGGTTTTGCTTCTCTTTCATGAATATCGCTCAATGTCACTTTTCAAGATACGTAATACCCCTGCGGGGTGTCATGACAAAACAATGGCGTCGCGTATGTTGACCATGCACGTCCTACGCAACGCTGTCATGAATTCATGATTATATTCGCTACAAGTTAGCCTCTCTTAGGAAAACATTGACTACCAACATGTGTAACACAGGAATTAAATGTATCATGTCAGTCGAACAGGCTAATACAATCAGCCCGTAGTACAAAGTGCGTTCTAGCCTACCGTTCAACCGATAGTACCGACCAACCAGCAACGTTGCAATCCAGCATGTTTTTTCATGAGGAGTTGGCGTCAGATGCAAGTTTTTTTGCCACAAACATCTATGAAACTAAAATTATACCCTGAGTACAGAGTCTCTCTGCAAAAATATAGTAATGCACGATAGACCTCTCTGTTTTCAGATGCTATTAATGCATTATTGTTCAGTGGAAGTTGTTGTCCCGTTTGGGTTACGCGTGATATGAGCTTATCTGTAGCAGTGTTATATCTACTTCATAACAAACACAGACGATTTAGGACCGTATCGTCAGTCTTTCCGACAATTGTAGGACGCCTTTATGGCCTCCTTGATTTTCATAGACTTTTCTCTCCGTCAGAAAGGCTGGGATATTTCTAGATTTCTACTGTTCCGTTCTGCGTCAGCGCCCTCTTATTGTGAGGTTATGTTTTCTTTTTGAATTGTTGGAAATTACAGACTATATAACAGATGACATGATAAAAACATGAACAATTCGAGGCAAATAAATATTTGTAACATAACCACAAAATAGAGCGCTGACACAGCAGAAAGTAATGAAAATCAAGGAAGCCATAAAGGCATCCTTCAATTGTAGGAAAGACTGACGATACGATCCTTAGATCTGCTACTTATCCGTGTACCTCACAGATGTGTGACTATCTTAATCTTAATTTGTCAAGGTGTGCTGGGAAATTTCCGTGGTTGACTTTATTCTGGGGCTTGATTCTAAATGAGTGAAATTGATTTCAATGGCGCCTTGTGACGATATACTTGATTAGCTATGATAATTTTGACACTGCCACGATAATTTGAATAAAGAAGATCAATATTAAGGCTATCTGCATTGGTACTAGATGAACTATTTCAAAATTTAAACAATCGATGAGTACAGGCATTGTTTTAGGCGATACAGCTGTTGAAATTGTGGAGAAAACTATGAATTTAATAATTTTATTGGTCAAAAATATAAGTTTTGAGAACCACGTCATAAATTAACTTCATGTCTGCTATTGTAAATATGTCACTATGGAGATACAAACATATTTTAACCAGTGATATAATATCAAGTCTTACTAATGCACTAATTCTCAAGAAACGAAGCACAAAGTTCAAGTATTCTACTTTTGAAGGGGAGGTGAAAAATTCCTGTGCGATTCCCTTTCCCTTTTGGAATGTTGTCCATTTTAAACTTGTTATGAAATTACATTCCAATAAAAGTTGTTATTATTATCACATAACACCCAAATACCATAATACGAGTATTTAACTTTTTTAACTAAAAAGGAATCCATACTAACTGTATTCATAATATACTAAGTGACATATAAATCCGACCACCCAGTTTAAATGGTTTTATTTTAATAAAAGTTGGTGAATGTATTTATCTTACTGTAAATAACAAGTGAAAAAATTTTCAGCCTTATCAGTTGGACATTCCGGTTTTTATACTGCTTTTTTTTTAATTCACTAACGCTCTAAACATGAATATTTCAACCGCAGTAAAGAAACAACGTTGGCGGATTTTGGTTCTTGACATCCTTTACGATCGGTTACGATGCCTAGAGTACGTAGACCTGTGCGATTTCGTCAACTTAGTGAGTTTGATAGGGGCCGTATAGTGGGACTTCGGGAAGCTGGACTTTCTTTTCGGGCAATTGCAGTTAGAGTGCAAAGAAGTGTAGATACTGTGGTTAGGTGTTGCCAGGCATGGCTTCGAGAAGGCGGTACGCAAAGAGCAAGGGGCACTGGACGCCGCCGTAGAACAACAGACCGTGAAGATCGCCGCCTAAGATTATTGGCCTTAAGGGACCATTTCTCCACTACCAGGTCCATTGCAAATGAATGGTTTGCAGAAGACGGAAGACCTATTGGCATGCGAAGTGTTTACCGACGAATGAGAAGTTTTGGCTTGTTTTCATACCGGCCACACTGGGTCCTCCCTTTAACTCGACAACACCGACGTAATCGCCTTGAGTGGTGCAGACCCCGGTCACTCTGGGATCAGGAATGGAACAGTACTGTCTTTAGTGACGAGTCTCGATTTTGTTTAGGCATGCACGATGGTCGTGCCAGGGTTAGAATGCGACGTGGTGAAAGGAGGAATCCACAGTTTTTTGTTGAAAGACATGTACATCACACTGTTGGAGTTATGGTTTGGGGTGCTATAGCTTATGGTTCCAGGTCACCTTTAATCTTCATCAGAGGTAACATGAACGCGCAGCGTTATATCCACGAAGTTCTAGAACCCCATCTTTTACCCTATCTTGACACCCTGGCAGATCCAACTTTCCAACAAGATAATGCCCGACCACATGTTGCAAGAGTCACAATAGACTTCTTTCAACATAATGATGTCACATTGTTACTATGGCCACCAAGATCTCGCGACTTATCCCCAATTGAGCACGTGTGGGATATGATGGGTAGGAGATTGCTCAATTTGCAACGTCCTCCTCAGACTCTAGAAGCACTTCGAGAGGAGTTGGTGGTTGCCTGGAATGAGATACCACAGGAGGACATTGACCACCTGATCAGAAGCATGCCTAGGCGCGTTGGAGAATGCGTAGCACATCAGGGTGCATTCACACATTATTAAAGGTCAAAGGGCTTTAAAGCAGTGCAATCATTTTGAAATTTTTATCATTTACTTATTATGCTTCATTAAGTACTTATACAAAATTTTATTAAAATAAAACCATTTAAACTGGGTGTTCGGATTTATATGTCACTTAGTATATATATGTACATAGGTATGTACGGTGCTGAAAATAAGGTGACAAAATACCTCTGGTATGGAAACTTAGCACAACGCTGCCTACCATGACGAAATGGTGCTTCCGTTACCGTGTTGGGTTGCGCAGCAAACGACTGAGGCCTTTTAGTGAGTATATATTACTGATAAATCTCACAATTCAAGTAGGAAAAGCTGAAAGGGCAAAACTATCTAGCTTTTCTGGTCTGATAGTGGCTATAAAATCCCGTTCCAGAAAAGGGGGTGGGGGAGCGCATATATCAATTTTATCTGGCGTAAGTATGCTTCCACCCCCGCTAATTGCGCGCAACTGTTACGTATCTTCCACACATAGCTTTCTCTGTATATTTGCCCTTAAAACATGATAATAATGATAGAGGAAGATTCACAACACATGCTAAATAACGCAACGAAAGTACATATACCCGCATCGGGGTCTGATTGAGGTCTGACCGATGGGATGGATAGAGACGTTAGTCATAGCAACGTTGCCAGATGGTCAGTACAGTCGGTAGGACAGCAAAGATATTTCTAGATCGTAATGTTGTCAAATGAGTGGGGACTGTGGACTAATTGTATGGGCCTGCTCGACAGTCTTTTTACCATGTATTCTTTTTTGTTGTACACGTTCATAACTAACTTTTTTCTCAGGGGGACTTGTGTCGAACATAAACCTCTATGAATTGACGTGTTACAAGGGAAGTGCAGGGCCAACCTACTTGAGTAATTTTTTTTTCAGGGATTATTAGATTTGTGTCCCCTCGCTGTACCCGTCAATGGTCCAGAAAGGCGCGATGTAGGACATGCTAGAATTTGAAAACGTTAAAGAACGCAACGATGCATTCGGTTCTGGACACACATAATAGTGAAATAAATATTTCAAAGTGTGGCGTAAACGGCCTCGGCAAATGCAGTTTCTGGTTACCCATACGTTTAACTGTAACGCTCGTATTCCGTTTCGGACTGCATTTTACTACGTATTTACCATAAATTGAGGGATATGTTGCCGGCCATTGTATTTATAATGCCAGCAGTTGCCGCATTCATGCAGGCGTGAAAAGTGGACAGCACCATATACGTGTAGACAAGGCGAAAACTTCGCATTCAAGGAGGACATTTTCCGAGCCTGTTTTTTCCATAATCACGTTTCTTGAATGCCGGTTAGCTCAACAGTTTGCCGGGCGGTGACCCAATGCAAATTGGTTCAGGCTCAAGCGGAGCTTTAGGCACTGAAAAAAATGCAAACATCAAGTTGATCGCATACACAAAATTTTTGCGTTTAAATATTCTCGAACCAGTGGCGGCTCGTGGCAAAATGAAACAGGTGTTCTGCAAATCCGAACTTACCTATTTTTTATATGTCAGTTCGATCCTGCGCTCCTTCTTGGCAGCAAATTTGTCGATCACCTTCCCGTTGAAATTTTCCATGGTCGACATAAATTCCTTTTCAATGGACAGCACCGACAACGCTGTAAGGCGATCCTGGGTCATAGTATTTCGAAGAAGTCTTGATTATTTCAATGTTGAGAAATTTCGCTCAGCCTCTGTTGTTGACATAGGAATTGTAACAATAATTTCTAACAGCTTTTTTGTTTCTTTTAGTGTTTCCTCCAAACTATTTTGTATAAAAAATTTCAAAAGAGACAGAGTTCCATGTAAATCTCGGCAATCATTCCGTCCATAAATAACAGACAACTCTGTCTTTAAACGATTTTTTTCTAATTCGGGATAAGCCAAGCAGGTAGTTTCCAACATCAGGAAACGTACCACAGTATTCTCCAAAGTGTTCGGGGAAAAAGGGATGCGGCTACCAAATAATCTTTGAATTGAAATCTGTCATTTGCAGAATTCACTATATTGTCGCATACTTCTAATGCGGCAACTCGGTGATCGTGACTCCTATTATTACGACGTCTCCTTTTGTTGCCTTGGGGTTCGGTGCAAATAGTTTTGGCTTCATTTATTATGCCGTCAATTTTATTTCTCACATCGACAATATATTTTTCAAAATTATCGATAGCCGTTTTAACTTGCGCTGGCTCGGTTTTTCTCTTCTGCAACTGGTTGAACAAGATGTCGATGTGAGGCATGACATGATGAAAAAATGTCAACCAAAACACGAAAACAGAATCGTTTAACATACGGCGAATACCGCAAGCTGAGTGGCAAACGGTTTCATTAGTGAAATTTTCTTCTATTTCTTCCATGCATTCAATGAGTGATTCTCTGTTCTCAAACACTACATTTATTGTTCGAATATTAAAATTTCAACGAGTTGTTGCTCCTTGGGAACTTTTTTCCCCACAATCCTGTTCAGTACTTCTACGCGTTGAGGAGAATTATTAAAAAATCCCTGGATATCTCTCAAATCCCCAAAGAACACCCGAACTTGAGTATTTGCGGAAGCAGCTTGGGACATAATCAGGTTTAACTGATGCGCATAGCAATGCACATAGTGAGCAAATGGATATCATTGTTTAATTTTTGCCTGTACTCCAGCAGTATGTCTGCCCCTTACCGCGGCTCCATCATAGCTTTGTGAAATCAGTTTGTTAGGGAAATTTCCTATTAATGTATCTACGACGCTCAAAATATCTCTTGTAACAGTACCAGCGTCACATTTTTCGGGATTCATATAATTCCAAAAATGTTCTACTGGTTCGCCGTTAAATACACATCTGAAACTTGTTACCAGTTGGGTTTTTCCCGAAATGTCCATTGTTTTAACTGCTATTATCGCCGAATACGAGGCTCTGATAATCTGTTTTATTATTTCTTCGTGACAAACTTCAAGAATAGAGTAGATCGTTTTGTATTTGTTTCGAAGTTCCTTTAAATATTGAACCATTTTTTATGTGTTCGCTTAAGGTAGTATCAAACTCGGCAGAAAAATTAATCAGTCCACGAAATATTCCCGGGTTTTGGGAGCTCGCGGTTTCGTCGCGGCCCCGTAGCGCCAATTCAAATGCTCTGACCAGATATCGTACTTCGCATTACATCTGTACGGATCTGTATAATGTGCAGCACATGCTTATGCTTAAATCGCGCATTTGATTTTGTAGAGAGAGACAAAAGCAAGCGCGTGCGGCTTGTCTCGAAGTAGTGCACAGACCCCTTTCAAGTGGGCCATGAATTATGTTACGCTGCGGTCGCGACGAAAATGACAAGTACACAATTGGTCGATTATAATGCTTTCTCAATACAAAACAGACTCGATGCCGTGTCGTGCTGGGGCAGCTTGGCCGGTATTGTTTCTATTTGTGTTATAACATGGCAAATAAATAATGATCAAATTACTACTGATTTTTTCTGTTAAGACAAAAGTTTTGGCAGTTCTCCAACTCTGCAGAACTTAAGGGCCAGCCGAGCCTCGAACATATGTATTGCCACGCCTTTTTCTTATAAATACTAGGCAAGGGTGGTGTGATTCCTCTTTTGCTTTTTTTTTAAATTAATTAATAACTTAATAAAATACGATAAATAAAATCAAATTATGAGACAATGCAAACCAGCTGCCAAGTGGCGTGTAAATTTTAGCCTTAGCTCAATAGAGCGGAGAGTTGGAGGGTTAAGAGTTCCAGTGACTTAAGACAGATTAAACCACAAACCTCCGAGATGTAAGTGGGAACTTGTTTTGCTTGACCACCCAAACAGCAGAAAAGAATCTAACAGTAATGACGTAACCTAATTAACAGTACATCCAGAAACAAATAAAAAAAAATAAAAAACAAATTCATAGTATATTCACTCAGCAAACAGCAAAAATGCTCCGCTACTGGAGTGCAAGTTTAAAAGAAAGGATATTACAAAAAAAGACATCGCACAATAAAATCATTTGGTACACGCTTTACAGCTATTTTTGCACCTAAACTAAACTGATCTGGACTGAGGTCTTCTCCTAGTTACGGCTAGGCGTAGCTGATATGTAGCTCACAAGTGCTTAGGTCAAGAAGAAGAAAAAACGGTGGCCAGTAGTGGACACGTCACCAGGTTGGTTGAATCGGTCTCCAAAATTTAAGTTATGACCCTAAAAAAAAAATACAGAGAGAGAAAGACTGATTAAAAATCTATTCTACTCTTCTGTCTGAGACAAAACTACTTATTGAAAACACTCAAACTTAAGGAAAAACCATGTACATTTTTTTGCCAGAAAAGTTAGGCAAAGGTAAAAAAATATAAACATGTACTGAAGTGATATACCCTTAGAAATGTATTTCTTGTTCTAAAATAAAGTAATGGCAGCTCAAAAATCAAAATCATGATAAACTTAATGTAATGCCCAATAGAAGGTGCCATATAGGCACTGCCCCATATTTAAATACGTGAAATGCCAAATAGAATCATTTACACTCTAAGAATTTCAGTCAGCAATAATCAATATACAGGGTGCGGCAGAGAAGATGGACGGTTTTAAAAAAATCATAAAATAGTTACTTTTTACCTGAAAACAAATTTAATGATGGAATCAGGTTTACAAGGAAATAGCATTTGAGACTGTCAAGTGTGGAAAATCACATCAGGCATGTGGTGGCCGAAATCGTTGATGCAGTGCTGGAGGCGTTCTTGGAAGTTCGCGTAGACTCTCTCCAACATCGATCTCTCAACTTGGGCGACTTCCACGCGAATTTCGCCCTTCAATTCGTCCAGAGTTCGGGGCTTGTTCGCGTATACTCTAGCCTTGAGGTGTCCCCATAAGAAAAAATCGCATATGGATAAATCTGGGGACCGAGGAGGCCAATGAACATCGCCAAACCTGGAAATAAGTCGACCAGGGAAGAGAGGGCGAATAACGTCCATGGATACTCGGGCTGTGTGGGCGGTCGCCTCTTTCTGCTGGAACCACACACGTCGGATTGGAACACGTCGCCGTCGTAATTCAGGGAGAAAGAAGTTGGTGATCATGTCGACGTCAGGAGTTCGAACTGTTCGCGGCGCTCCTCTTGGTCTTCTGTTGATCAGTTCACCACGCCTGCGAAGCGATTCAACCCAGCGAAGGATGGCGTTTCGAGAGGGAACAGCTCTATTCCGATGAATGTTGAAGTGGCGATGAAACTCACGCTGTACGACGATAGCTGACTCATTATTTCGGACGAAACAATCATAGCCGAGAACGCGGTGCTCCACCGTCCAAGGCTCCATAACGACAACTGGTAAAATAATGCTAGGATCTCACGAGTCAAACGGCACCCTCCTTACTTCTCTCGTAGACGGAGGCGGAGAGTACTACCCATCCCAGAAACGTCCGTCCTCTCTGACGCACCCTGTATAAATAATATCTATACAATTACAATTCAAACGATATTTTACCTGTTCACATCAGGGCCTATTTTCGCTAAGGGGGTGGCTTCCGGCTATACCAGCATCCCGGCTGTAAAACAGCTACAAACAAAGCTGGAGGAATGTGTGAGGTGGTTCTATCCCACAAAAAGGAAGCAAATATTGAACAAACTTCTTCAGGACATGTATTAATGCACGTGGTACGATGGAATAAGGAAAAAAGGCTTACCGCTGAAGATTAAAATCCCATAAGAAACTGGACGGGGTAGCACTCAAATCAAAGCAACTAAACGGAAGGTACTATATGAAGAGGAACTACTCCGCAAACTGATTTTCGGCACCTAATATCCCAGAATCTGAAGGTTAAACAAATGGTGCTCACACCACAACCTCAGGAGGAAGGTGACTGACACAAAACACCTAACTAACAGGGAGGTTCAATGAGGGGCCTTGAAGAAGATATGTTTGAAAGAAAACCAAGTAACGGAGAAAAACCACAGATCTCTGTTTCCAACACAATACTGAATCACTGAGAAAGAAAGATATAATACGTGTGAAATTATACAATCAATAAACAATGAAATTTACCAAAAGAAAATCGTTGAAAAGGGTTTGCCCTAGGAAAGGCTACTCTACCATTAAAAAGGAGAAAAGGGTAAGTGATCAAAGTAGTAAAAAAATGTTACGTGATTTTGGCACGTGACAGTATCTTTCTATTTTATCAACGTTTTTTATTTTAATGTAATACTTCAAATGCCCACATTTTTTCCAACATACACGCATTTTTTAATTTTAATAGCATCCCATGTTCAACGGTTTGATACTCAATTGTGACACCCTGCATCGCGCAAGCTTTGTCAAAACTCTAGTTTCGATCGACTTCAAATTTGATTTTGCTAGAGCACACTTTTCTCTCAAAATACGTTTGAGTTGACAGTCACAGCATCTTATTTGACATTTAGATGAGATTCTGTGTTTCTTTCCTCATTGTTAGGGCATTAAATTACAGTTCCAGATATAATGCACACGAACTTGATTAAACGTCTTATTATGTATAGAATAACGAAATGATGTTTCATGTCCTGCGGACAACAAAAAGATGAGTGTTTGCTCATAAGCAGGAAGTTTTCCATTGCCTCCAGTCGTCTCTTTGAGAACATGCTTTATTCGTTCTCGGATATCTTTAGCCACTTTGCGAAATGAATTCATTTACATTGTAAAGAGCTATCATTACAAATAGGTAATGAAATAAATATTTAATACTCGTCCTTTGTTTTTTTTTTATTATGAAGCAGTATCTGCAGAATGTTTTCATCAACATAAAACAGGCATGCACAATAAAAAAATAGTACACACCAAATTTTATGAAAACGGTTATCTGGCGTCAATCTTTGCTGTTGATACATATAGTTGCAACAAAACTCAAAAGGACGCCAAATTCATGTGTACTATTTCAATTGCCCGAAACCAGTTTTCAAACTAAGAATTGGTTCAATAATATAATAATAATAATTAATAATAATAATAATAATAATAATAATAATACTCAAGTAGGTTTTACCCTTGCTTGAACATGTTTTCGCCACTGCGCATGTTCAGTCGGTTTTAGTGTACGTTTTAAATGTTAGTAGTGTGTTTCATTATGGAATTGTAGTAAAAAGTGGGACTACTAGCTCACATAAAAATATTTACTTAATCTAAATATTCGCAGATGAGTAAATTTTGGACAGAAATGTCGAGATTGCCAACAATGAGCTTTTAAATAATGATGAAGTACTAAAATGAAAAGAAAAGTGTGCATGCATTTGTTCTG